CCCCCAAAAAAAAAAAAAACCAAACCCCAAAGTTAGCTGGAGATCACAGTTTCAAAGTCCCAGGTCAGATTAACCCTTTCTTTCAGTGGATTATTAAAAAAAATAAAAATTAAAAAAAATCAATTTTTGCAGTGAACCAGCTGAAGGACTCTGGGGAAGGGAGGGACAGAGATTTCTTCTTGTACTCGGAGAGGGGGGGGAAAGACTAACACAGTGCATGCCACAGTCACAGAGAGCAAGATCACGATTCATTCGAGGATGTGATCCTAGAAGGGGTCACCTGCGTTAACAAGTTTATAACGAGGTGGTGGAGTCTCTTCCCCAAAGCAGATCTTGTTAACTGGAGGAGGAAGCGTTGTGCTGCAAACGAACCAAAAAAACCCCCAAAAATAGAAGGGAAAAAAAAACCCCCAAACAACAACAACAAAAAAAATAAAAATCAGGCCTTCTGAACGAAAACCACCATTGTAAACTGTCCAGTTTATTTAAAAAAATGACTACAACAGAGACAACATGAGATTTCATATCTAGACTAGCTTCCTGGTGTCGCACGGCACAAACATACAACAGGTTCGGTTTCTGTCTTTATTTAAAAGAACAAAGCAAAGAGATCGGAGTTGGGTGCTAGAGGCTTCCGTTTGTTTCCAAAAAGAAGTGTCATGTACATATATAAACCCTTCTGCACAAAGAAGGGTCTTGTCATGTCTTGAAATATTTTAAGTTTTGTCCTTCATGTTTTATGGAATAAAAAGTTCAGCCTTTTTATTGCATGAAACTAAACCTGGGGTTTTGGCCCCCGCCACGCGTCTCCCTGCCCATACACCTAGCTTCTTCTTCTTCTTCTTCTTGCATAATTCGTTGAGATCCTCCGAACGGCAGCTGACTCTCTTGATCCTGGAGAGGAGGAGGGGGAGGGAAATCACACACTCATCGTCATGCTGGGGGAATACTGGAAAAGAGACAGAGCCAGGGTGAGAAATCAGGTGGGTTGGACCCCCAGACACCAAAGGGGGATGCAAAAGGAGGTTGATGACAACTATACAGCAACCTAATTGGATCTAATAAATCAGGAGGAGAGGATATGCTGGAGACTTGAATTTATCAGAGCATAATCTGCTCTGTAACTTGCTTTTCCGGAGAGAAAATCAGCAGAACAGTATGGGGTGAGATGCAATTTAAAACAAATAATTAACATGCACATGTGCATATGCTGCTAATAGAGGAAGAAGAGGAGGGATGTCTGTAGCCACATGCTGTGCCTCACATCGGCCAGGCCAGCACTGCTGGCTGCACCCACACTGGCTCCTCTCCATCCTGCAGGATCCCCTCCCCTCCATCCCACAGGATCACCTCTCCTTCATCCCGTGGGATCCTCTCCCCTCCATCCCACAGCATCACGTCCCCTCCATCCTGTGGGATCCTCTCCCCTTCATCCCACAGCATCATGTCCCCTCCATCATGTGGGATCCTCTCCCCTCCATCCCACAGGATCATCTCCCCTCCATCCTGTGGGATCCTCTCTCTGCTCTGCAAGATCCTCTCCCCTCCATCCTGTGGGATCCTCTCCCCCTCGCTCGATACACCCCCATCCCACCAAGGACTCAAGCTTGCACCCACCAGTGTATTTCTTCCTCCCCGCTTTCTGTCCTGGCACAGCTCACACACAGCACAACCCAGGTCCCAAAGGTACCCACACCGAGCCCACCCACCCCCGTGCTGGGACACCCCCAACCCCAGAGAGGCACTCACTCACATTGTCATTTTGGAAGGAATGGAGAAAGTTGCCTCCCAGCTCCCCGTCGTCTCTTGGAGTGCCCGGGGGATTGCTAATGCCACTTATGTTGTTTGGAGAATTCTGCAGGAGATGGGAGGGGGGAGCTGATGAGCAGGTCCCTGCACCCCCAAAACACCACAGGGGCAGTATGCAGCCCTGCCTGCCCCAGTCACGTCCCCACAATGTGCCCCCATCCTTCGGGGTCACACCAGTACCCCAGTGCTGAGAAAAGGGGGGGGGCCCACACACCCACTCTGCAGCTCACTTACTTTTGGAAGTCCATCTATGTCTCCTGACCCTGCACAGGGGGAGAAACAAAAGGAGAAGAGTGTTATTGAGCATGCAGCGATGGTCCCTGCTCCCCCCTGCCCT